GTGTGCTGGAAGCCAAGCTGCTCTGCCCGTGGAAAGTGGTTGGTGATGGTGGGGCTTCAGGACAAGAGCAGCCAGCCCAGGAGCCGGCAGCCCTGTGTTGTGGAGGGCACTGTGCCGGGGGCACTACACCTCCAATTTGAGTGACCCCCCAGCGAATGGAAAACCAGGCTCAAATTGCACTGATCTGCCCAGGATCACACAGCTCCTGCCAGGCCATGCCCCAAGCAAGTTCATAAGAGGCCAGGCCGCTGTCTCGTTGGGTATCGAGGCCGCTCTGGCCTTGGTCTGCGGCCCAGCCATGGCCCAGTTTTTCCAAACAAACCATAAATACCATCTTTATGGAGGATCGGCAGCAGGGGGCAGAAGAGGAGACCTCCTTTCTCACCCCAGTAGCTCCGCTTCTCCCAGGACAACGGGCGGCAGGGGGGAGGCACTGTCTGAAGCCTCAGGGCACCCTGGGCCCAGCACCCCACAATGGGCTAAGACTTTGGTGACTGTTCGCTGGACATGACTGCCGAGCAAGCCTGGCCCAGCAGGGACTCCCTCCCACCAGCCCAAGCTTTCTAGAAAATGTTTTTAGAGCTGGGCGCAGCGGCTCACACGGGTAATCCTACATTTTGGGAGGCCAAGGCAGGAGGATTGCTTGGGCCCAGGAGTTTGAGACCAGCCTGGGCGACATAGCAAGACCTCATCTCTACAAAAAATTTAAAACTTGGCCTGGTGTGGTGGTGTGTGCCTGTAGTCCTAGCTAGGAAAAGAAAAAGAAAGGAAAAGGAAAATGTCCTTAGCACCCTTGCCACATTCTCTCTTTAGGGGCAGAGGATAACAGCCTGGACAGAGGGATGGGCAGACGGGCTGGGGCCCCTCCCGGGCGCAGCTCTCTTCTCTCCATCCCACGTCTCTGGGCCTCTGCCTGGTTTCTCCCAGGCTCCAGACCCAGCCTGACAGTCATTCATCATCCCCAGACGAGCATTGCTTGGAGCCGGCCCAGGTGATGAAAGGCTCCTGGGTCCCCAGGCCCCCTCCCCTTGGGCCACTGAGGTTCCCTGGGGCCGGGAGAGAGACTCCATCTGTAACAAGCATAGCAATGACAACATACCCTGTATTCTCATTTTCTGCCCGGCTGGGCCCCAGCCCGTCCTCCCTCTCCTCCCAGCAGCCCTCGGTGTGTGGGTTGGGTGGATGGGATAATCAGCCCATCATCCAGACGGAGAAACGGAGGCCTACAGGGTCAAATGTGCATACCCAGTGAGTGGGTGGCAGAGCCCACCACCTCGGCTTGAAGGTCCCTACCTGGGGTCTTCCTTCCTCACAAGGCTGCTCCAGACACGGCAGGGTCACTCTGACCATTCAGTCCTCAGGGAAGAGAACTCTACCCCCAGCCAGAGACTAGGGCTTCCCAGAGATAGAGCCCCCTTCCACCTGCAGATGGGAGCTGGAGGCTGAACTGTCCTGGGCACTGGGGCCCCAGTGCCCTCCCTGGCTAGGGCCAGAGCCTTTGCTTCTGGGCCACACATGTACGGACTGCCCAGCTCACCCTAAGTAGCGGTTGTCAGTGGCTGGTAGGTGGATGGCAGGGCAGGCCAGGTCACCTATCACGTGCGTGAGAATTTCCCACAGCCTGCCTTCTCACCTGCCCCCCTGCGCTCCCCCACCCTCCCTGCCCCTACACCCGAGCCCGCTGTACCCACCCCCTAGCTGTCCAGAAACCTTATCTCCGTGGCCCAGTGACCTCTGCCTGGCCACAGAGGATGGGCTTTGGGGAGAGGCCCTGCTGCCACCAGCTTCCTGTGTGACCTCAGGCAGGTCTCTGCCCCTCTTTGGGCCACAGCTCGCCCATCTGAAATTGGAGAAAGTGGCCAGATGGTCTGCAGCTCCAACCAGGCATGAGTGGGCCACCCGGGCTTCAAACACCAGAGGGACATCCTTTGTTACCCAAGGCCCTTGGCAAGTCTTTGCCTCCCTGGGCCTCAGTTTCCTCATCTGTAGAATGAGCTAATGAGGACTTTCCTGGGCCTCTTAGGAGCCATGAGGCAGCGGAGGCAGTGGAAGAGGTAGGCAGATGACCCGTGGGGTCCACAGCAGACACCGCTGCCCATCCCGGCTGGTCTCTGCCCCAGCACTCCCCTGGGCACTGAGCTCCTGCCCAGCATGGTGGCCTCTGACCCGGATTTCCGACCATGTTCCTTCTCTGTGCAGCGCCCCAGCTGACCTGGATGTCGCCCCCACCCCCGCCATCACAGCTTCTGTACCTCTGAGGCCCCCCGCCCAGCTGCTGGGCTCAGATGAAACAGATCCTGTGTTTTTTTTTTTCGGGAGGGGGCGTTAATCTGCTGGAACAGGGGCCTCTCGGCCAGCCTGGAGGGCTGCCAGTTCTCAGAGCAGCTAGAGGTCAGGGGTCAGGAAGGTGAGGACAGGGAGGACGCTGGGCCCCTGCAGAGCCTGGTAGCAGGCTGTGGAGGGGCTGCCGACCCCTGCAAATTGGTCTGGTGGGAGAGGCACTGTGCACTGGGCAGCCGGGAGGGAGTCTCGGTGCCTCCACACCCAGGGCCGGGCTCTGTTTGCCTTCTGCCCATCGGCGAGGCATGCACTCTTCCTGGGGCAGGCAGCTCAACCCCTCACCCAGGGGCAGCTTCTGAGCTAGTAGAGAGGCGGACGCCGCAATACTGCAGGCAGATGGGTCAAGGATCGGGGCTGCCTCCTGCCAGGAAGCTCTGCCTTGAGCTCCAAAAACTGGGTCCACGTGCAGGCCTCCCCCAGGACCGACAGTGTCCCCACAGAGAGGAAAGATCTGGGAGGGCTCCACTCTCTTTTGGTCTCTTTGTTGTTGTTGTCGTTGTTGAGACAGAGTCTCGATCTGCACCCAAGCAGGAGCGCAGTGGTGAGATCTTGGCTCACTGCAACCTCTGCCTCCCGGGTTCAAGTGATTCTCCTGCCTCAGCCTCCTAAGTAGCTGGGATTACAGGCGCACACTAGCACGCCCTGCTAATTTTTGTATTTTTAGTAGAGTCGGGGTTTCTCCATGTTGGCAAGGCTGGTCTCGAACTCCTGACCTCAAGTGATCTGTCTGCCTCGGCCTCCCAAAGTGCTGGGATTACAGGCATGAGCCGCCACGCCCAGCCCTCTCTCTTGGTCTCTGAGCAGCCAGGGGAGGAGGCTCAAGGATACTGGGGAGGCCTGGTCCAGCCCGATTTCAAGGGGTTCAAGTTGACATCTTCCCACACACTGGTCTTTGAACATTTTCCAGCCTCTCTCCATCCCCAGCAGGCACGACCTGCTGAGGCCCCAGGTGCCACACTCTGGCTTGGGCACCAAGGTGTCTGAGCAGGCACAGCTTCTGGGGGCTGCAGAGGGGGCACAGGTACAGGTGACACAGCGCCACCATGCACACCCCTCCCCAAATGCCTGACACCAGGCTCACACGGCCCACCCAAGGGTGGGAAGGTCAGGGGGCCCACCCACTGGGTTCCAGGCCTTGGACGCTGCACCCCCACATCGCAGCACACAGGCAGGCCCATGCCAGCATGCACAGACTCTAGGAAGATCCTGGCACGAACACCCTCGGGCCTGTACATCCAGACATTGCCAGGATTCTTGGCCACCAGCCCCAGCCCTCCTCTCCAGACCTCTGCAGCCTCCCTGGGCCCTGACCCTGGGTCTGCTGTGGGAGAACTCACTCCCCAGCTTGATGGGGCCCCATGCAGTTGGGGCAAGGCTCCGATGACCAGCGCACCCCCACCACAGCTGGAGGCCAGGCCGAGGAAGGGGACGCAGGCCTGGGTGGGAGGCGGCAGTGGAGACGTCCCAGCCACTGGGCGACCTTGGCTGCTCCCAGCCTCTCCTGCTGCCTTGCCTGTGGAAGGAGCTCACGACCTTTCCACGTTGGAGGGAGGGACCGGAGAGGTCACGCGCGGAGAGGGTTGAGCAAGCTGGAAGGCACTGTCAGAACATTTGTGGAAAGGATTCTTCATGGAGAAGCCTCCTTCACAGCCCACCCCCGGGACCTCAGGTGTTCAACAGCTTCTGGGAGGGTGATGTCCCTGCTGTCCAGGCACCCACGGCCCCCTCTCTCTCCCCCATCCCCTCTCTGCCCCTTCCTCCCTCCCCCTGGGGTCCAGCTCTCATTCCCCTTCCTGGGGTTGGGGCAAGGAAGGGCCAGGGCTCCTTGGCAACCCAAAGGCTTGGTTCCCCAGGGTGCTGCACCTGTGTGACGGTCTCATTTACTCCCACAATGGCCAGGGCCATCGCTTGTCATTCCCCAAGTCATTTATTCTCCAAGCCCTTCCTTACGGTGCTCACCTTTAAGAAATCCGCATGGCCCAGGGTCTCAGTTCAGGGCAGCAGCTCCTAACCCAGGCTGGGAGACCCAGGAGACTGGACATGTGCCTCTGACACACTGCAGATCTTGGGGCAGCTTTGTAACCTCCTGAGCCTCAGTTTTCCCCTCTGTAAACTGGGGGCAGGAATAGTGTCGGCCACCTTCCAGGGCTGCAGGAGCCTGTGCCCAGGACCCAGGGACAGTCCCCAGCACGAGGCTGCAATGCCAAAATTTCCATGTCCCCGCAAGCCTGGCGACGTGCAGGCAGCACCTCCCAGTGTGCTCAGTACAGTCCCCCGTGACTACTCCTTCCCTCCAACCCGAGGCTACATTCAGCCTGACTTCCTGGGCCGCCTGGGGGGCAGAGAACAAGTTCCCAACCCTACCAGGCCAGGCTGTCCCTCGCCTGTCCCCACAGCTCCCAGTTTAGAGCTGTCCCCACGGAGGCAGGCAGTGCTGGACGGGCCAAGGCGGTTGGTGAGGGGGACCCTTCCCGCAGCAACCTGGGTCCCGATGCTATTTCATGCCACCCCACCTAATAGGTGTGATCCCATCTCTGGCTGCCGCTGGGAGGTTTTGCATCAGCTTCCAGGGAGCAGGACAATCTCACTATATGGAGAATGGGCTGGTGACGGCTAATTGATTTTACAGCGGTACCGAAGGACAGACAATGAAAGTGCCATCAATTTAATCCACTATTTAATGGTTCCAATTTAGCCTCTGTAAATGCTCACTAAACTAATTTCTCTGGGTTCAGCAATCTGAAAAGCTATCATATCTCTAATCTCCTTCAATATATTCATCTGGAAAAGGGAATTTAGCCAATTCTGATGTGCGGAGATGATCTGTTAGCACAGTGTAAATGTTTATAACACAGCAATCGAGTTCGTTTATAAGGATATGAAAAGTTTTATTGGGGAGGGCACTGGAGTGGAACCGGCGGATAATAGGCAGTTACCCAGCAGGCTCTGGGCGCCCGGGAGCGGGCAGGCATGCAGAAAAAGACTCGGATTTGCTCTAATCCCAAATCGTGAGCTCAAGTTCGGACCGGCACACAACGCGCCTGCAACTTGGCCGCACAAAAGGAGTGACGCCGTCCCCGTGGACCCCAGCTTTCCTTCAGCGCCACACGCCCCCACCCCCACACAAAGGCAGCGGAAGTGGGGTGACGGGGGCTTAAGCCCCGCTAGGGTCTTCCCTTTGGATAACCAGGAGTCGGGGGTCGATGGGGATCTGCACCTCTCCCCGGGCCTCAGAGGCAGGGGCTGGGCCTGTCCCACTGTGTCCAGCCAGATGAGGGGAGCTGGCGGGACCCCCATCCTTTCCCATCGCCCCTCAGCCCCTCCCCCAGCATGCAGTCTGATGGGATTTATTAGAGAAAGGGTGGTGACCAGCTGTTCCCCATCTTTCCTGAGGACCAGGCAGGAGGAAACAAGCTTAACTTACCGAGCAGGTTTTCGGTTCACCACAAAGGGTTTCCTCCAGGGGAGGGCGGATGGGCCTGCCTCACCCCACCCCCACACACACACCAGCACCGAGTCCCAGTGACCTTTCCCAAGGTGGGTGCCCAGCACGGTGGCTGCAGTGCAGGGGCGCTCACGTCCCATGCTGCGGGGAGCCCTCAGGCGGTGTCCCCTGCACCCCCACGCACCTGGATGACAAGCGCAGCACCCCCCAAGCCTGGAACCCCCACCCCTATTCTCTTGGTGCCCTTGTTTATTTGTGTTCCCCAGCGGTGCGGTTGAAGCCCGATTATTCAGCGCTAACGAGCCAGCCCGACCCACCCATTAAGTGTGGTTTGGGGGCATGATTGTTTTTCTCACATCATCCTGTTTTTAGAGAAAATACTCCCCACCAAGCAGCACATAAATTAGGAAGGCTGGGAGTCTGGAGAAATGCCACCGGCCTCCCGCAAATTTAAGAGCCAGGGAGTGACCAGGTGACTTTTGGCCAAGCGGAGAGGCCATGGGAGAGACAGCGGGAGGCAGGGCCCCAGGCCAAAACGCTGCCTGCTGGGCCGGACACAGTCAACCCTGACGGGGCTGTCCCAGGGACCCCCGAGGCCTGGGACCCAGGTGGCCCATCTCGGGCCCAGCTCCTTCCCAGGCCCTGCAGATGAGGACCGAAATCGATTGGCCACACGGCTGTGACTCGCTCTTCTGTCCCAGTCCCAGAATGAGAGTCCCTGGCTGGGGGTGTGGGGCACATCTGGTCATCTGGATCCCTCTCTCCCGGCTCAGGCCTGCCCTGGGGCACAGGTTTGGTAAGGGACGGACAGATGGGCGCCTACCTGCTCGCACTTTGAGGTAGGCTTGCAGCACGGGAGCTGGCAGACCGGGCTTCCAGCTTTGGCTGTGGCATCACCTCTTCCAGGGTGTTGTCCCAGGGAGTCCCTCCTGCTGGGTGGGGATGAGAGTGCCACCTCACATCACGGCTGGAGGGTAAAGGACACACTGCTGTTAGCGCCCTTGTGACCTGGCTTGGTCCCTGTGAGCCCCCCTAATCGCACCCTGGTGGGTCGGCACCCAGGAGGACTGCTCAGTCCAGGGCTGCATGCTGTGACTACAGCCCTTCTCAAGCCCTATGCCCCTGCCTACCCAGCCTCAGCCCTGGCCAGCAGAGAGCCAAAAAGCTTGGCCCAGTGCACCTTGGCTCCAAAACCAGCTCTCTGTCATGCCTCAGGTCCACAGGGGCAAGAGGCTCCTTCACCCTGAGCTGACCGCAGAGAAGATGGAAATGCTCCTCCACCCCCACAGCCCTAAAGAGTGTGCACCAGCCCCTCGCCAGGCCTGGGGCCCCTGAGGCTGGGGCTGGATGGGGGCCCAGGGGAGAGGTCAGATTCCAGCTTCTGTAGCCCTAGTTGGTGCCGCACCCCAGGTCCAGGGCAGTAGAAGAAGGGCCCCCTCTTTACAGCATGTGCACTGCACCCCTGGGTGCTGACTGGGCAGGGACTGTCTCACAGGGACGCAGAGTTTCCAGCTGCCCGGAACACCTCAACCCCTGGGACTCCCCCCAAAAGACACATAGATATACTCAACATTCACACATGCACACACACACACACACAGAAACACACAGCTCCCTGGTCTATGTGTCAGATACACTCTACCCCTACGCATCCCTACACACTCAGGCCCCATAGATCCACCCACGCACCCACACACACCCCTCCATAGACCCACTTAACGCACCCCCACACACACCCACTCACACACCCATATCACACACACACACACCCATAGACCCACACACCCACGTCTCACACACACACATGCACACCCATGGACTCACACACCCACACCCCATAGACTCACATACCCACATCACACACACCCACACCTCATAGACTCACATGCCCACATCACACACACCCATACCCCATAGACTCACACACCCACATCACACACACACCCCCACATCTCACACACATACACACATGCACACCCATAGACACATACCCACATCACACACACACACATCTCATACTCACACACCCACATCTCACACACGCACCCCTATAGACTCACACACCCACATCTCACACACACACACACACACACACACACACACACATGCCCTGTAGGCCAACCCACTCACCAGCACCCACACACACGTCCCCATAGACCCACTCAACACATACCAATGAACCCACATTCATACACACACACACCCATACACACACACGCCCCCATAGATCCACCCAACACATACCAATGAACCCACATTCACATACACACACACACACACACACACACCCCTATAGATCCACCCATGCACCCACACCTACACACATACGCACACCCATGCCCCCACACACCCATAGACCCATTCCCACACACACATGCATGCCTCTGTAGACCCACCCCTGCACCCGCACACACACCCATAGATGCACCCTCGCACCGGCACCCAACCTGACTCTGCTCTCTGGAGCTACTGCCCTGGGCAGATTTTCCTCACCAAGAACTTTGATATCACCGATTCTCCCCAGAGCCCTGGAATAAGACTTGACTCTAATTGGAGTCACCTAGAATCACAAGTGGCTCTGGGCAGCCCCTCCCTGTCCCCAGCCCTTCCCACCCAGTGGATCCCCAGGGAGCTCCACATTCCACAGCCAGAGCCACGAGGGCTGTGCTAGGGAGGGGCCCGGGAAGAGCGCCCACTGTCACTACAGTGTCAGTGACTGCAAGGCTCCCCTCCTGGGTGGAGATGTGACCAGGAGCAGGGGCCGAAAGAGGACAGTGGGTACGGGGGGTGGAGGTTGATGGGAGTGTCTCCTGGCCCGGGATTGGTGTTCCCTAGTGGGGAGCTCTGTGCAGGTGGGAGGGGCTCTGGGGGGCCAGGAGGTACCAGGGACCCATCAGCACCTGGGTAGCACTTGCTGCCTAGCCTTCTGTTGGGAGATGAGTCCCCCCTTGAGCTCTGCCTGAATGGAGGGCACACCTAGCAGACGCAGCCAGCACTGGGACCACGGCACCGCTTTCCACTCAGGAGGGGAGGGATGACCACAGGCAAGAGCGGTCCCACAGTGAGCTCCAGGTCCCGGGGTCCCACAGCCCCTCGGGGGTCAAGGTTGCCAGGTGAGCCAGTGCCAGGCCGGCAGAAGTCAGCGCTGGAGAGTGACGCAGTGCACGCGGGTTCCTGACGGCAAGGGGCATCCTCCCACTGTAAATTATATTTAACATCCCACAGAACTTTATTGCATTTTGTGTTTGGGTTTATGAAAAAATCTGTATTTAACTTCAAGCCCTGGTAAACATCTTTGCTTATGTTGTTATGTGATTCTTTATTTGAGTATTTCGATTTAATTTCACAGTTCATATACCTTAAAGTTTTGGCTTTCCCCTCCCTCCCCACTCGCTCTGAGATGCCGGGCCAGCCTTACCCATCCTGGGGCAGCTGGATGGTGAGGCAGGGAAGTCCAGTTCGGGACCAGCCGGAGGACCCCGCAGCCCCCAGGGTCCAGGCCAGTGAGGCAGCCCCTGGACAGAGAGTTCGGGCTTCTGAGAGCCTCGCTGGGCACCTGATGGCAGTGAGTGAAGATGGAGTGGGGAGTCAGGAAGCCGGATGTGTCCCCTGTCTGACCCTGGCTCCCTGAGACTCCATTTCCACAGCCTCAGAAGAAGGGCAGGGGCTACAAGAGGTGAGATTCTGCTGAGGGGTGGGGCGGGAAGAGGAAAGGAATGAGAGGAGGAGGAGCCCAGGGGGAGGTGTGACCATCACAGGCCCAGCACATCCCAGCAGGGACAGCTCCCCAGCCTACCTTGGCCCCAGCACCCTGCATCCCCTTGGCGGACCCTGGAGACTTTCAGATCACACTCACTGTGCAGCCTTGAGTGGGTCCTGCCCCTCTCTGGGCCTCGTCTTCTACCAGGACAGCAAGAGTAGGACCTGCGTTCCACCCCAGAACATTCTGAGGCTCTGGGCAGAAATTCTTTGGAAGGAATCAAGACCCAGAGGGGTTAGAGGGCTAATCCTAGGTGGCTCAGCATGGCACATGCAGCGGAGAGGGACTCTGAGTCCAGGGACCCCCAGCCTCCCCCCACCCCCCAAGTGCCTTCCAAGCCGTGAAGCGCTAGGGAAAGGCTCATGCAGTACACGTCCAGAGCGAAGTGCGTCATCTCCATTCACTGCCTGATGTGAAGAGCCCACGGGGCTTTGGTGGTCTGTAAAACCCCAGGGAAAGTAAGGAAGTAGGTGTCCCTCTTGGCTCGGATCAGCCCCCTGATGTGAAACATCCTGGCAGAGCCCCACCCTACCCCCAGGACAAAGACAGGAGCCTCTGAGACACCTCCTCCCTCCCGGGGATCCTGAGGCTGGGAGCTGCCCCCAGGAGTGGAGGAGACAAATGGGGACCCCTCGAGTCCCTGGATGCTCATGTGAGACTCTGAGATGCCCCTCACTTGTCCAGGGCCACCCTTCCCCAGCAGCCCAGGCCTCCCGGGACCATCTGCCCTGGAGTGGCCCCACAACGTGGTTCTTTCTCGTGGACTCCTTCCCAGGCCTCCAGAGCCCAGCTGTGTCTCTCACGCCTGCTCTGGGTGGGCTCCTGAGAGGGGCTGTCCCTGCCTCTGCAGTCCCCATTCGAAGCCTGCAGGGAGAAGCCCACCTGGGCATCCCTGCCCCAGGTCCAGCCACCCCAGGACCCTGCGTGCCTTGGTGAAGATGGCCTCCCTGCCCATCGATGTTGTCCGGACAGGCCTCTCTGTGTGGTTGGGGCGGGCACAGCCAGTGAGCCCAGCTTCAACAAAGCCTGACCCCAGCCCCAACTGAGAAACCATAGCAGCCCCAGCCACCGTCCCCATCTACTGCAGACATCGCTAATCAATCGCATGATGCCTTTGAGACAGGACCACAGACTCCTTCTCAACAGAGCACTCCAGAAAGCTGTTCTCAAGCAAAAAAAAGCAACAGAGGTGACACCTATTCTCTGGCCCTCCACTGAATAACCACCCTGCAGTTTGTACGAAGTCTTCCCTGGGAGTTGTCCTGAACTCACCACCAGCATGGGTTGGCCCTCCCCAGATCCTGCCCCCTGCCACCAGTGCCAAAGTCCCTCCTGTCAAAGTGCCTGCCGTGGTGCCAGCCCCCTGGATGGACCTCAAATGGAGCTTCTGGAGAGGGCAACTGGCAAGAAGGAAGTGGGAAGAGGATGGAGGGTCTGATGCGCACCCCAGAGAGGTCCCAACGCTAGACCTTCGGGATGTTCCAGGATTCACTGGCTTCACTTCATTCCCCAAAGGATCTGAAACACTTAGAAAAAGGCACAAAACTCAATTGAGTGACTCCAGACAGTTCAGCATTCAGAGATGAATACGCTGGGTGTCCAATAGAGTTGTTAAAAGCAGACTGACTTGACTCTGAGCTTCCTAGGGGCCAAGGCAAAAAAGCAAACACATTCTATTGCAGCACATCCATCGCAACACCCATGAAAGAAAAACAAGCCAGGCAGTCAGAAGGAGCATGCCATTCCTGTTGTGGAGGCCTGAGAGACTTCCCACCATCACTCACAAGATGGATTCCCTGAGAGTCTTCAGGTGGCCTCAGACACCAAGTAGTGTGGTGCAGGGGGTGCTGGCCCAGGCACCTGACATGTGGGCCTGGCCAGGGAGCTGCTTTGTTTGGTAGATCTCAGTTTCCCCATCTGGTCAGCAGGGTGGCTTCCTGCCTATCTGAGGGGTGCTGGGGAGGCCCTGGCAAGGGGCCCAGCATCACCATTTGCAGGAGGCTGGCTGTGTAACAGTGAACTGGGAAGATTGCCGCCTGCCTGCCTCAAGGCTCCATCACTGTGTGTGCAATTTAGTGCCGCTGTTTCATCAGTCACAAAATCCAAACGGAAAAACAGAGACATAAATACACCCGCCCAGGGAGCTGCTGGACCGCACGTGGGGCCCAGAGGAGGCACGCATGGGCACCGTGCCTCAGAGAGGATTGCATGTCCCGGGGGCCGACACAGGCTGATTTGGGTCAGAGGGTGAGCCAGGCCTGCAGGTCCTGGGGCTGGGGAGCAGAAGGGGATGGGTGAGCTCTGAGCAACTAGCCCTGGAGGGAGAAAGGCTGAGGGGTTGGGGCGCTATAGGGCGGCCCCTTGGGGACTTTGATTTGCTCAGTTACACACTCCTGCATGGCCCAGAAGGCTCGGGAAAAATCCATGGCCTGAAAAACCAATTCAGGTTGCACAACCTGCCAGGGTGCCAGCAGAGTCTGCCTGACAGAGGGGGCAGGCAGCCCTGGAAATGGGGAGCAGAAGCAGGCAGAGATGGGATGCACGCTGGCACTGTGGGCCAAGCAGCCGCAAAGAAGGGGTCCCTGGGGACATCTGGAAGCGAAACCCTAAGAAAGGAGGCTCACACCCTGCCCCAGACTGGCTTCCTGAGCTATCGCCCCTCTCCAGGCCTCAGTTTCACCTTCTGCAACACAGCGATTGCCCCCAAGCAACTCTGGCTGGTGTGGTAGGAACTGGGCACCACCAGCTGTGCAAACTGTGAAGTGGGGGGAGGGGGTCTGCAGGCGTCGCCTGCCGTAACCGTGACAACGACGGCTGTGAAAGGCACCGGCTGTTCCTGGACCCACGCAGTGTGTTCGCGGCTGTTGTGTGACACACACACCCCACCAGACTTGTTTTCAAACGGCATTTTGCTAGCCAGACCGAACACGGCCGCATTCCCGGGAGCATGCCAGCCTCTCCCCTCTCCCTGCCAACCTCAGGGGTGGCGCCACGGCTTCCAAAATCTCATTACTGCCACCATTTCCCGTCCTCCGCCGCTCCCTCCTCTCCTGCCCTCTCTCCCCCACTCTCTCCTTTTGGAGGATAAATTTCTGTAGCAGCCAATTACAGCCATTTGATGTGCGTAATGACGGAGCCGTGGAAATTGGAATTGACACCTCGGAGGATCTCGGAGGGGAAGAAACGCAACGTACATGAATCAAGCGTTTTCTTGGAGTTTTCTCCCATTGACAACGATTTGCTGGGGCCTGGGCTCGGAGCTCGGCTGCGGGCGGCGGGGGGTGCGGCAGGGCTGGGAGCTCCGGGCCAGCAGCGCCTGCTCCTAAGCACCGATCAATTACAGCGCAGACAAGCCGGTGTCACATGTGATTCACAATGTCAATTTCATGCTCGTGGTAACCATTTAAGAAAGAGCCGGGCCGGTTTTACATTTGATAAGAAATCAGCAGCGTTTGTGTTTGTAAAAAGACCGATCACAGAGTGTGACAGGTCCCAGAGATTGCCAGGCGGCATCGACGGCCCGTCTGGAGTCTGTCAGAGACCCGCAAGTATTTATTTCAAATGGGTTCCCCCCCATCGCCCCCCTCGAGCCAGGACGTGAAAATAAACTGTCAGTCTCTATTTACAGCTGTACAAGCTGGAAATACAGAGAATTTTAGGTTAAATTGTCAGTTAACAGAATTCAAAATAGAAAAAAGAAATGGGCCTGGCCGGCTTTATTGCCCGTTTTGATAGGGAAAGTCATCTGTGGCTTTGGAGGGTGGAAGGAGCCCCTGGGAGGGGGAGGTGGGCTGGGCCCCAAGCCCAGGAAGGCCTGAGAAGGCCTGGCTAGAGGACTTCCCAGTGCTGGCAAGAATTTGGGCAGTCTTAGGGCTAATTAGGCCAGAGATGGGGCAGCAGAGCTGCTGTCCCTGCCTGGGCCCTGCTCCCTGACAATTTGCCCATTTAGCGTCTTCAGGAGCGCGGGTACGGCTAATCCAGCCAGGAGGACATCCTTGGACGCACTTGGCTTCTGCTGGGGTGATGGAGCTGCCTCCCGCCTGCTCTCCCGACTCAGGGTCTGGCCCAGGGATCTGCTGCCCGTGCACGGATGACCAGGGCCCCCAGGTGGGTGTTGTGCCGCCTGCTGGATCTTCCAGGGCTTCGGGGACAGGAGGGTGCCCACCCTGGCTCCAGATGGGACAGGGAGGCTCAGCGGGGCAGCCTCACAAGGCCCCTCCTCTCAGGTGGGGTAGATGCTGGGTCTCAGGGCTGCGTCCGAGGGACCCTGACTTCTTACCTCTCTCTTCCACGGTAGGGTCTGTGGAGCCGGTGCCACACTTTGCCATATTTAATGACGGGAGCTGTGTCTGGCCGGGTGGGCATCCATGGGGTCCCCAGCAGCCCTGGCAGCAGGGCAAGCAGGCTGACTTCGGCGGCATCTCCAGGACAACGAGGAAGAGTTGCCTGCCTTCTCTGGGTTTCCAGGAGCCGGTGCTCCTTGGCACCAGCCTAGTGGGCAGGGGCTGCAGTCCCCGAGGGCTGACCCAGGACGTGGGGGAGATGGAGGTGCACCTCCCACGGCAGAGGCCTGGAAAGGTGCTTGGGCCTGGGCTGGGGAGTCACCTCGGTTTCCTTGTCTGTGAAACGGGAGAAGAGAAGCGTCTACCTCCAGTGCCCATGAGGCTCCAATGCATTCCTGGTAGCACGCGGCAGGTGGTAGCGCCCGCTTGACCCCTGTGTGCTGCGTGGCCACGAGCCCTTCCTTCCCCTCTCTGGGCACAAGAGGACTGTGGAAGGCAGAAGCCTGACTTCACCTTTCTGACCATGAGAGGTGGCTTTCCGGCCCCAGCTGAGAATCCAGACAGCTTCACCCACACAAAGAAAGTGGCACCTAGCCAGGATGGAGAGCCAAGCCCCACAAAGCAGGGGGTACAGCCCAAGAGCCCAGCACAGCCACCATCACAGTGGCTCACAGCCTGGCTGGTACCCAAGCTGTGAGACCCCCGCGGGGCCCCTGCAGGAACCTGCCTGGACTTTTCTGACCCCAACTCCCCAGCACTCTAAGTTGAGCCTGATCAGTGCCTCAAACTCACCAGCCAGACACCGGGCCTGGCACAGTGAGAAGAAAGCTTCCTGAGACATCCTGGGGACTCCGCCCGCTGGTGTAGAGGTGCCGCCCACACAGGGCCCCTAAGGGTGGCAGCCGTGGCCCCAGATGTCCAAAGAAGGCCCTAGTTCCATCCCCAGGCCTGAGGGTTGGCGGTCAGTAGGCTGCCCGATAGCCCTGCAGGCTTCCCCGAGTCCTGTCTGCTGGCCAGGTCTGCCGGGACCACCAGTGCCCAGGCATGGTGGGGGCCAGTCCTGGCATCAAGGGCGGGAGCTGCAGGAAGCTGGGGGGGGGCATCAAGAGGGAGACAAAGTCACACCAGATGGAAAGCAGGGCCAGGGCCACACATCCCAGCCACGTGGCATCCCCCGAGGCCAGCTGGGCAGGCAGCCATGGCACTCGTTGCTCAAGAGGCAGGGGTGGGCAGGCCTGGGCCTCCTCAGTCTGCTCAGCCTCACTCCTCCCTTGCACTTGAGTCCACTGCTCTCTACAGTTTGCAAATAGGCAGACGTTCTTCATTCCAACCTCGAATGTGCCTGGATGCCCGCAAGACTAAGGAGGAAACTGAGGCCCAGGGAGGTCAGGGGCCCCCAGAGTCATAGCCTGGCCAGTGCTGGACACCTGACATCCAGACCTCTTGCTCTCAGGCACCACACTCCCCACACCTTCCTGGCCTGGAGAAGCCGGAAGGAGGCAAGGTCAGCAGGACTCAGGGACTCCGTCTCCCAGGGAGGCCCCTGGGGCATCAGAGAAGGGAGGGCCTAGAAACACGGGCCCCAGGACTCTGAGGTCCCCTCAGCCACTTCTCAGCTCTCCTTTGCTGCTAACGCCTCAAGAGCTGTGTCTCCATTGCCACCCCAGCCCACAGCCTCCTCCCCACCAAGGACCACCACGCTGTAACCACACCTGCTCTCAAGGCGTCCTGGCTGGCCCCAGCCTCTCCCAGGACCCCACCTTCGTGGCATCTGCCCACTCCTCCAAGAGTGTCTGAGGCCGGAGCAGCCATCCTCCTCTCTGGGCAAAGGATCTGTCCCCACAAATGCAATGCCTGCAGCCCGCCTGAGCTCCTCCTGTCCCCTGGCCACCTGTGACCCCCTGGGCACCTAAAACACAGCCCACTCAACTAAGGAAATGAGCTTTCCATTGTATTTAACTTTATTATTTTAAATATAAATTTAAAAACTGAAGCAAGCTGGGTGTCATGGCTCACGCCTATAATCCCAACGTTTTGGGGAGGCTGAGGCAGAAGGATCGCTTGAGGCCAGGAGTTCAAGACCAGCCTGGACAACATAGTTAGACTCCGTTGCTATAAAAAATAAACAAATTAGCTGGGCGTGGTGACACGAGCCTGAAGTCCTAGCTATTGAGGGGTTTGAGGTGGGAGGATCACTTGAGTGCAGGAGCTGGAGTCCGCTGTGAGCCATGATTGTCCCACTGCACTCCAGCCTGAGCAACAGAGTAAGAGCCTGCCTCCAAAAAAAAAAAAACCAAATGTATAAAATGTCTCATTGATATTTTGTATATTGGTGATATGTTTAAGTGACGATGTGCTTGATGTATTAATATCTGGTTAAGTAACACACGTTATTAAAATTAATTTCCTGTAGTCCCAGCTACTTGGAGGCTGAGATGTGAGGATCACTTGAGCCCAGGAGGTGGAGGCCAACCTGGGCAGCATAGCAAGACCCTGTCTCCCTGCCAAAAATTAATGTCACCGGTTTCTTCTTACCTTTTTAATGTAGCTACTAGAAAATTAGCAGCACTGGCCGGGCACGGTGGCTCACACCTGTAATCCCAGTACTTTGGGAGGCCGAGGTGGGCAGATCACAAGGTCGAGAGACCGAGATCATCCTGGCCAACATGGTGAAACCCTATCTCTACTAAAAATACAAAAACTAGCTGGCTGTGGTGGCAAATGCCTGTAGTCACAGCTTCTCAGGAGGCAGAGGCAGGAGAATCACCTGAACCCGGGAGTCAGAGTTTGCAGTGAGCCGAGATCATGCCATTGCACTCTGGCCTGGAGTGAGACTCCAACTCAAAAAAAAAGAAAATCAACAGTCCTAAGTGTGACTTATGGGTTGTGTCTCCTGGTCAGCCCGCGCTCACTCTACTCCGGCCATGTTAGCCCCGTAGGCCATGTTAGCCCCGTAGCCCCTCGCTGGGCCTGAGGCCACCTGGCCCCTCCCACCTCGGGTCCCTGGCACAGCTTCTCCCTCTGCCTGGATGGCGCCTCCCAGCTTGCCTGGACTCCACACTTTCACTCCGTCTGTCTCTGCCGAATGTCACCTCCAGAGAGCCCCTCCCTGACTGCTGGGCACCCCCACCTCACCTGCCCCTTCCCCACCTACCCCTCTGCCTGTCACACCCTGAGTCCCCGCGTGGGTCCTGTTCACCGCTGCATCCAATGCCAGACCTCACCACGCCAGGGCAGCCCCAGAAGTGAATGTTTAGCAACTGAAATGCCACATGCACCCCGTGTGTTCCCACACACACACTCAGCATGACACTGAGCCATAGGGCCTAGGGGGCGCTGGAGAGGCAGGGCCAGGTTGAGAGGGGATCTGGGCAGGGAAGTGCATGCAAGCTGGGAGGGGCTGTGCGGCCTCGCCCCAGAGAGGCTGCTACTGTGTCCAGGAAGGCAGGGCCAGAGGGGCACAGGTGGCTGCACCTGGGACCCCCAGCAGAAAGCCAAGATGTGAGCCCCAGACCTCCACCAACAATGCTGCCCCTGCGTGCACCTGGGAAGCCCCTGTCCTCTCCACACCCCAAGGCAGGCAGATGTCCTGAGGCCAGAAGCTACAGGCTAGGACAGAAGACCCAGGCTCCCCAGCTTCCTTGGAGTCCACCCACCCATCCGGACCCCCACCCTCGTCGAAGTCTGAGGGGTGAAGTGCTCCCGCCTCCCTGGAAAGCGCTGTGGTTTATTGACTAATTGCAGCCCATCGATTTGTTAAGAGCTTTTGCACGTCCCCTCAATGGGAAATATTGTTCTCTCACCCAGCTGGCTGGAACCCGGGTGAGAAGTTCTTTCCTCCACACCATAAATTTCCATCTGGGCATCCCTCCACCATGTAAATGGGTGTCCACCCGCGCAGGGAGGAGGCGCTCGATGGTCTGACAGCCCCCCTGGGTTCGGCTTCCCAGAGTTGCTGCTGCCACCGCCAGAAACATTGCTCCTCTAGACTCCCAGTGCCCGGCTCTGAACCACAACTGCCGGCCCACCAGGCCTCCTGTCCCCACGCCAGCCGGTCTGTCAGCTTCTCTCCCAGGATCCCAGAGATCCCAGAGGGACCTTCCCACAGTCCACACACAGCAAAGCAGACCAGGCCACCTCCTACCCCATAGCAGCAGCCAGGACCGAACCAGGCCAGAGGCTCCAGGGACCAGCTCTGCGCTCCTGGAACGCCCTGGGACCCAGCTCAGGCAGCCTCAGGCAACCCCAGAAGGGTGACCTGGAATAAGCGGGGGCTCGACACCCACAAATACCAGCAACGGCTCTGAGCTCCATAGCCAGTGTCTGGGCCTTCTGTAGACCCTACCCATCTGGCTGGACAAGGGTGACACAGCTCCAGCCAGACCCTGCCCAAGCCCCTCAAAGCAGCTCAGGGGGTGGCTCCCCAGGAGACCAACAGCCCTGAGGACTTTCCAGAAATCTCAAGCCCTGGAGGCCCAGGATCTAGCCTCCCCCAAGAGGACCCAAATCCTTCTTTTTTTATTTTGCGAGATGGAGTGTCGCTCTGTCACCCAGGCTGGAGTGCAGTGGGGCGATTTCGGCTCACTGCAACCTCCACCTCCTGGGCTCAAAGAGATTCTCCTGCTTCAACCTCCTGAGTAACTGAGATTATAGGCATGAGCCACCAGACCTGGCTAATTTTTGTATTTTTACTACAGATTGGGTTTTGCCATGTTGGACAGGCTGGTCTCGAACTCCCGATCCACCCGCCTTAGCCTCCTAAAGTGCTTCGATTACAGGCATGAGCCACTGCGCCCAGCCCTGGACCCAGATCCTTCACAGAGCCAGGGGCTCCACCCCACAGCGGCGGGGCCCCCAGAAGCACCCACACCTCTCTTCGCCTCCAGCTCTAAATGGTCCCTGGACCTTCCCTGCACACAGAAGGCCCCAGCCCACACCTCCTGCCCCCTCCACTCTTCCCACTCGGCCCTGGGCAGCAGCCCCCCTCCGCCAGGCAGGGCCAGCATGCAGAGGTTTTCGTCCAGTGAGGACAGGGAAGGCTATCAGGGAATATGTGGAAACAAGGTCTCAGGTGCACAAAAGACTTGTTTCCATCATTATAACATTACATTTAAAACTTTTTTTTTTTTTTAACAGTCTTACTCTGTCGCCCAGGCTGGAGTGCAGTGGCACAATCTCGGCTCACTGCAGCCTCTGCCTGCTAGGTTCAAGTGATTCTCTTGCCTCAACCTCCTGAGCAGCTGGGTTTATAGGCACCTGCTACCATGCCCAGCTAATTTTTTTTTATTTTTTAGTAGAGACCATACACCATGTTGGTTTCGCCATGTTGGTCAGGCTGGTCTTGAACTCCTGACTTTGTGATCCACCCGCCTCAGTCTCCCAAAGTGCTGGGATTACAGGCCTGAGCCACTGCACCCGGCCACATTTAAAACTTTAATCCAATGATTGAAAACAGGTGATCAAACACAAACTTGCACCCAAAT